TCTTTTTTGCATCCCCAGGATATATTCCCAGAAGTGGTATTGCGGGGTGATACAGAATGCCCATATTGTTTTCCAGAAAGGCTGGACCAATCGGCATTGCCACCAACAATGACAGAGAGTCCCTTTTCCCCCACATCCACACCAGCACTGGTTGTTCTTGTTTTTGTTCTTTTCACACCAGCCTCTGGTGTGAGATGATATTCATTGTTGTTTTGATTTGTATCTCCCTGATGATTAGAGATGTAGCGCATTTTTTCATGTGACTTCTGGCCATTTGTTGAGGGTGTTTCTGTTTCTTCTCCCCATTTTTTGATGGGATAGGAGGTTTTTTTCTTGTACTGTTTTACTAATGTCTTATGTATCCTGGATATTAACCCCTTATTTGATGGGTATTGGGTAAATAATTTTTCTCGTTCAGTGGGCTCTCTCTGTATTTTGGTCACTGTATCTTTGGAGGTGCAGAAACTTCTTAGTTTAATGTAGTGTCATTTGTTTATGTTTGTTTCCACTTGCTTGGTCAGTGGTGTTTCATCTTTAAAGATGCCTTTAGCATCAATGTCATGGAGGGTTCTGCCTATATTTTCCTCCATGTACCGTATGAATTCATGTACCTTATGAATTCAGGTCTGATATTGAGTTCCTTAATCCACTTTGATCTGACTTTTGTGCCTGGCGTTCAGAGATCAGAATTAATTTTTTTGCAGGTAGCTGTCCAGTTTTTCCAGCACCATTTGTTGAAGAGGTTTTGCTTGTTCCATTTCACGTTTCTTGCTCCTTTAACAAAGATTAAGTGATCATATATTTGAGAGTCTGACAGAGTATTCAACTCTGTTCCATTGGTCTGTGGGTCTGTCTCAATCCCAATACCATGATGTTTTAATTACTACTTGTAGCATATGTTTTATGGCATAGTTTTACAACATTTTTGAAGGTTGCTTAAAAATAAGAATGTGACACATAATCAAAACAGAATCTGCTGAAATGTCCACTGACAAGTGATTCGTTAAAGAGGCTATGATTTATATTTTAATGCAAATATGCTCTGCTTTTTTTAAAAAAGATGAAATTGTGCCTTTTGGGATGTAATGGATGTATCTTGAAGGAATCCTGTTAAGTGAAATAAGGAAGTAAAAGACAAAGATCAAATTACTTAACTTCTCTGTCAAGTAACAATTACTATAGCAAACTGACTGGTGAGAATCAATGGAACTTGAAGACTCCAAAGTATAGTATGGTAGTTACTAGAAGAATGGAGTGAATGAGTGAATACATCTCAAAGAATGAGTGAGGTATCGTTATGGTGGTGATTTGACTGGAACTCTGGGATGAGTGATAATTATATGTATAGAGGTGTGAACTTAGCCTCTGAAATTCCATAATATTACAAATGAAATATGTGAATAGTTCAATGATAAATCAGAGAGACCATTAAAATACAAAACTTAACAGGTCAGAGGTGTGCATGACTGCAAAAGAGTATTTACTCTCTAGCCCTTCTAGTCCTATACAGTGTATTCTTTTTCAAATCCTCATCCATGAAATGTTACCAGAAGTATGTCTTGTTGATCTTTCATCAGAGCTTTTTTACCTTTTTTGATGTTCAGCCAAGTGGTGGTTGGATAGACTGGCCTTATGGACCAAATTATATTTGATTTTTTTTTAAGTATACATAGAACTTTTCTAATACTATACTGAACAACAGTCGAGACTAGTCTGAAATTTTTTTGTATTATATCTTCCAACAGTATTAAAACTTTAAAAAGATCCTTTATTAATTTTTTTAGTTCTTCCTCATATGAGTGTATATATTTTACAATTATTTATTATTTATTTTAACAGTGTTTTTTATTTATTATTATTCACTGTATCACTCTATCACTGTTCATTGATTTACTCGAGTGTCTGCCAGTAATGTCTCCATTCATCCCAGCTTTGAGATTTTAGCAGCCTCTCCTTACTCATCTTTCCCAGCACTGCCGTATTGGAGGTTCTTTCAGGGTCAGGGGAATGAGACCCATTATTGTTACTGCTTTTGGCATATCGAATACACCGCGGGTAGCTTGCCAGGCTCTGCATGCATTTATTATTATTATTTATAAATATTTACAGTTATTAATTGAACAGTTTGTTTTCTTAAAAGCTCATAGCTATTTTGCTCTTTATCATTTCTGAACTGGTAGTGTCCATTTGAAATGATTGCAAATGAATCATTTCTCAGTTATTAAATATTTCCATTGCCCATAGATTATTAGATGTGTAAGTGATGCTATAATGAATAACCACACTTCTTTTGTTACTGGTTTTTTTTGGGGGGGTCACACCTGACGATGCTCAGGGCTTATTCCTGGCTCTGTGCTCTGGGATAACTCCTGGTGGTTTTCAGTGGATATATGTGTGGCAGGGATTAAACCCAGGTCAATATGTGCAAGGCAAGTTCACCTTCCCCCTGTACTAGCTCTCTGGCCTCCATTTTTTCCTTTTTTAAATCATAGCCATCTGAAAAATCCTGGTTGTAATAACACACAATAGTGATATCTTACAATACTAGTTCTGCTTTATAAAACTTGATATGATTACAGGAACTTTCCCGTTTCCTATTAGAAGGTACATTACATTAATTAATCATAAAAGCTGCGATTTCCAATGCCTTTAAAAAAGGAACTTGAGCCAGAACCATAGTACAGGGGATTATGCCCTTGCCTTGTGCAAGGCAACCCTGATTTAGTACCCCAAATGGTTCCCGGAGCACTACCAGATGTGGCCAAAACAAACAGAAAAAAAAGGGTGTTGATAAGTACAATGGCTATTATTTATAAACATTTTAAAGGTTTTTTAAATTCCTTGACTTCTTACTCTTTTAGAATTTGTTCTTTGTACTTGAAAAAAATAAAGACATGCACTTGAGTATATTCATGAGTTCAGAAAATTTTGACTGTTTTAGTGTTATGTCTTAAGGGTCTGAAAATAATATCTGGCATATACGTGCCCTTAAATGTTGAATGAAATAATTTTCAGGCTTATATATTACAATACTGTTTAATATTAAATAGTTGGAAATACTCTGTTTCCTTACAGAGATAGTTGATTAAAATGTAAAATAAGATGTGATTAAATGCTATTTTGCTTTTAAAATATTCTAATTGTTTTATGTATGCTGATACATGTATTCGGTGCTTCATTTAATAAAAAAATGCATAGTATATACTACTTTTAATATTTTTATCGAAAATACATTATATATGTACAGTAGTTCTTAAGCTTGTTTCAGGATTCTTTTGCATTCCTGAAATTACGGAAGACTTAAATTTACATATTTGTATTCATAGATTTGAGATACATGCACATATGTTTACCATATTTGAAATTAAAACTGGGGGAAATACTTTTAATTTATTGCTCATCTAAAATAAAATAATGAATTCACTGCTTATTCACATAAATGTAGTTTTATTAAAATATTTTTCAAAATGACATTTATTGAGCAGTGGTAACTTGTATCTGCATTAGTCTGCTTAGGTCTGTTTTACATACTGAATGTTTCTTTGACCTGTGCAAGGTTTTGTAACTTACATTGGTCATTTGGAAAATACTGTTTTTCAGATTATGTGGATCTTCTCGATATTGACTAGTTTTATCATGCCACACTCAAAAGTCACAGTATTATCATTGTAAGATTTTCAAATATTATGAAGCAGTCAAGCTTACAGTTTTGGAATCATAGTCTATTTTTTATTTTAAAGTTTGAGTTTTTTTTTGTTTTGTTTTTTGCTTTTTGGGTCACACCTGGCGATGCACAGGAGTAACCCCTGCTCTGCACTCAGGAGTTACTCCTGGCGGTGCTCAAGGGACCATATGGGATGCTGGGAATCGAACCCGGGTTGGCCACGTGCAAAGCAAACGCCCTACCCTCTGTGCTATCTCTCCAGTCCCTCAAAGTTTGAGTTTTATCATTGAAAACTCAGTTTTTCTTAATTTTATTCTCGGAGAGCCCAGCAAGCTACCGAGAGTATCTCGCCCGCACGGCAGACCTGGCAAGCTCCCCGTGACGTATTCGATATGCCAGACACAGTAACAACAAAGTCTCCAATGGAGACGTTACTGGGCCCGCTCGAGCAAATCAATGATCAACGGGAGGGCCTTTCTTTCTTTCTTTCTTTCTTTCTTTCTTTCTTTCTTTCTTTCTTTCTTTCTTTCTTTCTTTCTAGTTTTCTTGCACATTTTGAAAAAATATGATATTTTTAATATTTGAAATAAAATATTTATGAAGAAGCAACATTTAATCAGTTTGTCATTTGTCCAGATAAAAATAGTATTCCATTAAGGAAAAAGGTGGCCCAATCTTATCACAGTGATACATTAAAAGAAACAAATTATAGGATTCAGAAAATAGCGGTACTCTGTGCCCAATTTTCTCTTTACCCATCCCCAGCATCACATCTTCTCATTACCAGTCTGAAGGCTCATCCCTTTTCCCCTTTTTAATCTAAGCACCTCCAGTTTTGTCCCAACAGCGAACCATCTGGCCAAACTCAATTGGCTGAATATCTCAAAACTCGGTATTTCGTGGCCCCCAGGTTCCCCAAGATAACTGCTTGGGAGGCACAAAAAAAATTAAATCAACAAAAAGAAAGCCCCATATATTTCAGTTGTTTGAGTGAGGTCACACCTGGTGGTGCTTAGGAATTCCTCCTGGCTCTTTGCACAGACAAGCATCATTCCTGACAGGACTCAGGAGGTCATATGTGGTGCCAGGGGATCAAACCGCAGTCAATGCCTTCAAGGCAGTCACCTTACCCACGTTACTGTTGCTTTGACTCCAAATATGTAACTGTTTTTTAAATAGCAAAATATTCTTAAATGGTAACATTTAAATTTTTTTGTATTTATAAATGTTTTATATTTAATGTCACGTAAATTGTGCTTTTATGGGACAGCTCACACAAAGAGTTAAGTGAATGTGAATTATTAAGAATAGTTATTTTCTGTATTTTTCTTATTAGGATTTAGGTCCTGAGTATAAAGATATATTTAACACCTCATTGCAATGGATTTTGGAAAATGGAAAAGATGTGGGAATAAGGTAAAGGATTTTATTTCCACTCTGATTGTAGTATAAGACTCGGTACTTTAACTCTGAATGATCTCCCTTCATTGTTTTTAATAGGTGTGTTGGTAGTGGCCCGGAAGAAGAACTGACAAACATAACTCACGTGCAGTTTTTACAGTCCACAAGACCTCAGATGTCTTTCTGGTGTCGTTTTAGACGTGCTTTTATTACTGTCACCCACAGATTATTACTGTTATGCTTAGGTAAGTTTGTAGAATGAAAAAGAAGTTAGTTTTTATGTGTGTATGGTGCAAGATGCCAGCTTTGAGAATTCAGTCTGTAATAGTTGTCCATTATGATTATATTCAAAAATATTCTCTAACCTAAATAATAATAGGTAAAGGTAAAGACCCTCCCGTTGATCGTCGATTTGCTCGAGCGGGCCCAGTAACGTCTCCATTGGAGACTTTGTTGTTACTGTGTCTGGCATATCGAATACTCTCGGTAGCTTGCCGGGCTCTCCGAGAGGGGCGGAGGAATTGAACTCAGGTCGGCCATGTTGGCTGCATGTAAGGCGAACGCCCTACCCGCTGTGCTATCGCTCCAGCCCAAATAATAATAATGAGATTTCTTAATAATATTAATATCAGTTGAAGGACTTAAAGAGTAGTGGTACAAGGGAGGCAGGAATAAGATCATCCTAAAAACCTCCAGAAAAGCTATGTAGTATATAATAGAAATCTATTCTAGAAAATAGAACAAGAAAATGTAAAAATTAAGCTTATTTTTACTTTTTGGGGGGAGACGACCTCGGAGTCATCCTGCCAGTGCCCAGAGAACTATGAAGGTCAAACGTATATGAAAGTATGTGCTTAGTCTGTTGAATTATCTTTCTGGCCCCGGACTTAGTTTTAAGTAATACAAAGTACCATGAGTTAAAATGATTTTATAATAACAGATAAGTGACAAGATAAAAATTTAGTTGAGATTCCTAGATATTAGCAATCCCTATATTATATCTTATTATATAGATATTTTTGACTGGAGCGATAGCACGGCGGGTAGGGCATTTGCCTTGCACATGGCCAACCAAGCCAACCCGTGTTCGATTCCTCCGCCCTTCTCAGAGAGCCCAGCAAGCTACCAAGAGTATCTCTCCTGCACGGCAAAGCCTGGCAAGCTACCCATGATGTATGCAATATGCCAAACACAGTAACAACAAGTCTCACAATGGAGATGTTACTGGTGCCTGCTCGAGCAAATCAATGAACAAAGGAAGGACAGTGCTACGTATAGATATTGTATCCTATTATCAGTTAATATCTAGGTGTAGATATAAATTACATATATATGTAATATATATTATATATAATACAATAAGTTACAATAATATTTGATATAATAAATATATAAGTAGGTATATAAATTAACACCTCCTTAATTCATATTAAAGTTAATTCACTTTAAAGTAAAATACAGTGCATTTATAGTTCTGTGAAACTTTTCTAGTGTTTTAATGTCATAAAGGAAGAAATTTTCGAAACATAGTTGTGGCTTTGTCTTCTAATAATAGCATTTAGAGGCCAAAGAGAGAGATAGTACAGTGGGCAGGATGCTTGCCTTGCAAGCTGACCTGGGTTTCGTCGCCAAACTCTATGTGGTCCCCTTATTCCGTAATGAGTGATCCCTGAGCACAAAGCCTGGAATAAATCCTGAGCACCACAGGGTGTGGCCTCAAAACAATAACAACAAAATTGTATTTAAATGTTGTATTGTCAGTGCAATGGGAAAAAAATTTTTTAAAGAAGTTAAGTGGGGGTTGGAGAGAGAGACCAGTGGGGAAGGCACTTGTCTTGTATGTGCCTGACTTGGGTTTGATCCCTGGCAACCTGTAAAGTCCCCTGAGCACTGCCAGGAACAATTCCTGAGTGCAGAACCAGGAGTGACCCTTGAGAATCACTGGATTTGAGCCTCCCAACTCCAAAAACAAGTGAAACTCTGGGAAATAGTTAATAAATATTATTTCTTCTATGCAGTTTAAATTATTTAACTTTCAAAACACTGTGTTTAAGATTTATTCTGTTGTGGCAGGAGGAATTCAATAGTTTTCTTTTTTTTTTTTAATTTTGTTAATATCAGAGTTAACTGTTGACTTCTCAGTAACTTCAAGTTGTAATCAGTGTTATTGAATGCCATTGTCCACATTTTTAAAACAAAGACTGTATATTAATATTGCAGGTGTAGTGATGGTTTGTGTCGTTCTGCGTTACATGAAGTATCGCTGGACAAAAGAGGAAGAAGAAACAAGACAGATGTATGATATGGTGGTAAAGATTATAGGTATAGTGTTTGTGAAATACATACTTTTTAGGTGTAATTATGTGATAAATGCTATATAGTGTCCGGTGGTTGATTTATTTTTAAGTTTTTGTGATTTATTTACAGATGTTTTACGAAGCCATAATGAGGCTTGCCAGGAAAATAAAGATTTACAACCTTACATGCCTATTCCACATGTGCGAGATTCCTTAATACAGCCTCATGACAGGTGTGTTCAAAGCATTGTGAGTTAAAGTCACGAGAATTATATTCAGAGTTACAACCCTTCTCAGCGATACCTGATTTTCTTTACAGACTGTATATTTGTATTTTAAATTTTTCTTTCTAAAATTTCTTATCTTGATTTTTGAGTAGCATAACTAGACTCTAAAGTTACTCTCATTCCTGTGCAATTTTAATTTTCTTGTCTTCTCCTTAATCTTAATTTTATCGTGATAAAAAATACATTTATATAATAGTCACTGTGAATATTTTACCTGAACTTTTTTTTTATTAGTGAAACACCATGAGGTACAGTTGTAGATTTACAATTTTTTGTGCTTGGGTTTGATTATACAATGATCAGATACCCATCCCTCCACTAGTGCCCATTTTCCACCACCATGGATAATACCCCCCCACCCCCATCCCCCCATCACCCCCTGCCTCTGTGGCAGGGCAATCCCCTGTGTTCTCTCTCTCCTTTTGGGTGTTGTTTTACCTGAACTTTTACAGGTATTTTGTTAGTGAAGATTTTAAAATATGATAACAAAAATATAAGTTGAAAGATTAAGAATGCTTTTTTAAGCATTCATTTTTTTTTTCTTTTTGGGTCACACCTGGTGATGCAACAGGGGTTACCTCTGATTCTGCACTTAGGAATCACTTCTGGCAGTGTGCTCAGGGAACCATATGAGATTCTGGGAATCAAACCCAGGTCGGCCTCCTGCGAGGCAAATGCCCTACCCGCTGTGCTATCACTCCAGTCCCTTTTTAAGCATTTAACCATAAAACATCAGAATCACAGTGGAGTTTTTTGAAGAATAAAATACTGATGCTCATGCTGTGCTTCTGGAGATTGAAACTTGATAAATCTGAGGAGAGGTTCAGGTCTCTAAGTTTATTTGGAAAAGAAAAATCTTAGGGCCAGAGTGATAGTTCAGTGGGTGGGGCACTTGCCTTGCACATGGTCAATCCCGATTCAATCTCTGGCACCCCACATGGTCTCCTGAGCCTGCCAGGTCTGATCCTGAATGCAGAAACAGCAGTCAGTCCTGAGCACTACTGGGTGTGGCCAAAAACAAAAACAAAACCCAAACAAACCTGTGAGCATCAACAACCTCCAGAATTAACAATAAACCATATCCTTAAATCACTAGTGTTTGAAAAAGATGATAAGCCAATATGATAGTACCTTTGTCATTTTGTTTGCATAATAGGAATTATCATTTTTTTTTTACATGATAGGAAAAAGATGAAGAAAGTCTGGGATAGAGCTGTTGAGTTTCTTGCTGCTAATGAGTCTAGAGTTCGCACAGAAACACGAAGAATAGGTGGTGCAGATTTTCTGGTTTGGCGTTGGATCCAGCCTTCTGCATCCTGTGACAAAATATTAGTAATACCTTCTAAAGTATGGCAAGGTCAAGGTATGTTACTTTTCTTTTTTCCGTAGATGACAAACTCTTTGTAAAGTTCTAAATTATTTTCTGAATCCTTATGCCTGCCAAGTATGTTTTTATTCATATATAATTCCTCACTTTATTTCAACATGTCTGTTGTTAACCCTTTGTAACTGGGGAGGAAAAAAGTCCAGTAATACATAATACAAAATAACCTTTTTTATTTTTGGCATCTAAATCTTGAAATTTTGTACAAGGGTATTTTTAAACAACAAAAACTTGAAAAATAATTTTCTAACTTCACAACTGCAAAAATCATAAGTGCTTGAGTGAAATAAATGATACAGTTTTGTGGTTAGTTTAATTTTATTTCAGGGTAATTTTCTGCCTGTTCTTTATTCATCTTTCTGTTGGGTTTTATCTTTCAGCAATTTGTAGAAATCCTAGGCTATAGATAATTTTTAATTGAATTTTGGCATAACATTAAGTTTAAGGTCTATGATGTGTTACTCTGATTTATTTATTTATCACATACTGATCTTAAAGCCCAAGAATTGTCACTGTCATTGTTCTCCCGTTGTTCATCGATTTCTCGAGCGGGCCCAGTAACATCCCTGTTGTGAGACTTGTTGTTACTGTGTTTGGCATATAGAATACGTCACGGGTAGCTTGCTAGGCTTTGCCATGCCAGTGGATACTCTCACTAGCTTGCCGGGCTCTCCAAGGCGGGCTGAGGAACCTGGGCCAACCGGGTCGGCCACGTGCAAGGCAACGCCCTACCCGCTGTGCTATTGCTCCAGCCCAAAGCCCAAGAATTATGTTTTATATTTTCAAACATTGATAATATTTCCATTTTCTCTAGGAACCCATTCTCAGCCATGAGAGTTGAAAAAAATTCTTATCAGGGGGATCGATGTGCCAAACACAGTAACAAGTCTCATGATGGAGACGTTACTGGGCCCGCTCGAGCAAATCGATGAACAATGGGAGGACCGTGACCAATATTTCTTTACTTGATACTCTTTATCTTACCAATAAAAAAAAAAAAACTTTTCACTTTATAGCCTGAAAATATAACAAAACAAAAAAATAATCCAATTCCAAAAATATGGTGTGACGTATTTTGAAATTTTCCTTTTAAGTTCATGATGTACAGATCTGTCACAAATGTTCAGTTGCCTATTTGTGCAGTTTTACTGGTAACAACAGCAAAACATTCAAGAATTTTCACTATAAAAATTACTATATTGACTAGAACTGAGATATTGTAATATTCCTACATGATAGTTTTACATCTTTGATCCATTAAGAGAACAAAATAGAACTCAAACATAGAATTTGGTTTTAATAATACACTTCGATGCCATTACATGTGTGTTTTTTCTAAATATAATTATATTATAAGTATATAATCATACCCAACAATGATTAATTGGGTAACACTTTTACCTCTCTCTCAAAACTTAAAAGTCTGTGAGAACACTGATCTTTTAAATATATCCATTTATAAAATTAAAATAAAAATATCTTTTATAGGTTTTATATGAAAAAATATCTTGTATGACTGTGTGAAAGTTGATACCAATTTTAATTGATTCAAATTTATGTGAGCAATAAAGAAGCAATGGGTAGATATTGATAAAGTATTTTGTGAAAACCTGTATTTATTATATTAGGGCTATAACATCATACCATTGGGATTGAGTCATTTTCTCAATCTATTTATAGTTTAATTAAAAGTTAACTCTCCTGTTGTATGTCAAGTATTAAGCAGGGCACATTATTGCAGCAAAGTATGTATTTAAATAATCATATTTTCAATTTGGGTCATGAATGTTTGCAATATAGTAAATGCAAGAGTGACTGCTGCTTTGTGCCTCAAGTATTTACTTTGTTTCAGTAAAGTTTCTCTATTACTGTTTATAATTTCAGACAAAATAGTTACTGAACCGAAGTTTACTTGTAATCTAACAATTGGCTTTTTAAAGAAAGTAACCTGTTGGTCTATTTAAGATTTCTGTCTAAAAAGACATTTTCTTAAAACATTCAAGTGACTTACTGTAGCTTTTTATAGTAATTTTTTATAATACCTATTATAATAATTTTTATAATAATTTTTTGTAATATGTTCTATTTTGTTCTGCATAATCTGATAATTAATTTTGGGGGTTTATTATCCCTTTGCTAGTCTGAGTGGCTATAATTTAGGTGCATGAATATTAGAACTATCTTCTCAGGGGCTGTTTTAAGATTTGCTTGAAATGTTCTTTACACTTTTCTTCAATCTTTTTAAATTTCATTTTCTTGGTGTTGTCTTGGTGTTAAATACTTTTTTTAGTATTTACAACAATGATTTATTGGGTAACACTTTTACCTCTCTTGCAAAACTTAAAAGTCTGTGAAAACAAAACTTTGAATGCCTTTTTTATTTTAATATCCAGAGGTCTGGGTCCTAACAAAAGCATATATGAATATTTTTGAATGAATTGTATGATAACACCTCTCAACAAAATGGAACAATGGTACATAGTAAAACTAATTTGTTTTTTGGCTTCTTTTGGTAGCATTTCATTTAGATAGAAGAAATTCACCTCCAAATAGTTTGACACCATGTCTAAAGATTCGAAATATGTTTGATCCAGTAATGTAAGTATTATAATAAGCAGTACATCTAATATTTATTTTGTATGTTTGGTTTTAAAAACTGATATTTTTCCCTATAATTTTAAATTATTTTTCCAAGTGAAAAACTCAGATATATAATTGATCTTTATACAATGAATTATTGTATACAAATAAACCTTTATATTCACTATGAATTATAACAGTTGCTTGAGTCAAATTAATGACACACATGATAATCAATACCTGTTACAAAATGTATCAGTCATATCTGCCAGTATTCTATATTGACTCAGGAGGTAATATAGTAAAAGTACCTGCTATTTTTAAATCTGAAATTTTTTTATAAAAAATTCTTTACAGAAATGTTTATTACCATCTCTAAGTCTTTTCTACTTGTTCATGCAATGTTCAAGAAGCTTTTCTTTTTATAATCACCACATGTATCCAGAGAATAGCAGAGTCAGAAGTATATATAGATAGATATATATAGTGTATCATATATACACTATAGTAATCTTTATAAAGTTATAACAGCTACTGCTTAACTATTCAGTGATTGACAGATAAATTTTCTTTTTAACCCAAATAGAATAAATTACTTTATATATAAATAACATACCCTTAAATCCCATGTACAATGCAATTACTTAAAAATAGTTAAGGGAGGGGCTGGGAAGATGGCTCAAAGGATTCTCATGCCTGCTTTGCATGTGGAAGTCTTGTTTAATCCCTGGTACCACTTGGTCATTTGAATATGGCCAGGGAGGAACCCCAAGTACCACACCTGAGTAACGCCCTGATTTACTCAGTGTGACCTCAGATCAAGACAAAATTTCTTAGCCAGATGAAATTCTAAATGAATGATAGTAAAATTGGAAATGTTGTAAGTATTGAGTATACATGTTCACACACTTGTAGAGATAAGAAGCAGTACGATGATTCATCTGTAAAGAGGTATACATCATGCTTTAGGAATTAGGACATTAGTCCAGTGTTTAACTGATTAATGTAAGGTTTTCTATTTTAACTGCAGCCATCTAACCACTCACCCATCATCTGTCAGTATCTTACAAGGCAAACAAATGTCAGTTACTGTAGCAGAATATAATAGGTATTAATACCTGTTTGTGCGGCATGTTTCTTTATCATTCTTTCATTAGTGAAAAAAGAACTCAGAATATGTTCAGTCATTTGATAAAAACTCAGAATGTGTTTGCTTGATATAAAGTTCAGAATACATTAGCAAATAGGTACAGTTTACGAAGAACTAAATAACTTTTACTAAGAATTAAGTGTAGGAATTTAAAAATGTTATTAAAAAATAAAATACTCGGGGCTGGAGCGATAGCACAGCAGGTAGGGTGTTTGCCTTGCAGGCGGCCAGCCCGGGTTTGATTCCCAGCATACTATATGGTCCCCTGAGCACCGCCAGGAGTAATTTCTGACTGCAGAGCCAGGAGTACCCCCTGTGCATTGCCGGGTGTGACCCAAAAAGCAAAATAAATTAATTAATTAAATGAAATAAAATACTCAACTTTTACAAGCCACAACTCGCTAATTCCTACTAGTGTAGAAAGAAAAAAAATTACTTGATATGTAGGGCTGGAGCAATAGCACAGTGGGTTGGGCGTTTGCCTTCCACTCAGCTGACCCAGGTTCGATTTCTCCATCCCTTTCGGAGAGCCTGACAGGCTACCAAGAGTATCCCGCTTGCACGGCAGAGCCTGGCAAGCTCCCCATGGCGTATTCGATATGCCTAAAAACAGTAACAAGTCTCACGATGGAGACGTTACTGGTGCCTGCTCAAGCAAATCAATGAACATCAGGAGGACAGACCTACAGTGCTACTTGATAAGTAGGATTTTCAACAAAAAGAAAGCTTGTGCTTCAAGCCTGTGTTGTTCTTTGTACATGTGTGTCACTTGCTTTTCTCTCTTTTTTTCCAGTGTAGAGCAGCCTATATTCTCCCTTGAACACAGATTTCCCCTTTTTCCTCCTCTCATATCTTCCTTAGCAATTTCTGTTCAATAAAAACTACCTTGCTTCAATTAAAAAAGAAAAAATAGCACTTTCCTACTGCTGTAGAGGGATATTTCTTTATTGCCTCATCTCTGTGTTTTCTTTCTTTATGGAAAGTAAAAGTTTGAGAGTTCTGAATTTTATTTTAAAAATTTGTGTACTAATTTTAACAGCATGGAATTTTAAGCATATTCTAGTAGGATATGTATGCCATAAAAGACAATGATGATAACTTATTAAATTATAAATGTACCTGTTAATTTTTTGTTTTTGACAATATTTCAGGGAAATAGGAGATCAGTGGCATTTGGCAATCCAAGAAGCAATTTTAGAAAAATGCAGTGATAATGATGGCATTGTTCACATTGCAGTAGACAAAAATTCACGTGAGGTAAGATAACTTTTTGTATTGAAGTCTACATGTTCAATTTGTGGCTATTAAGCTAAGATTGTTTTATTTGTCTCTTTTTGTTTCAATATTACAGGGTTGTGTATATGTTAAATGTCTGTCTCCAGAATATGCTGGAAAAGCTTTTAAGGCATTGCATGGCTCTTGGTTTGATGGTAAGAAATTTTAATATAATGAACATTTTGAAAAGATAAATTATCACTTACTATTAAATTATACTAGATTTTGAATTAAATAATTTCAAATTATCATTTTACGAGTAATAATTTTAGGTGTTCTTGTTCACATTTTGTATTCACATATTTTTACCACAGTTTTCTGTAAACATTAAGCACATTTTACAGTTCTAAAATACTATTTTTATTTTACAACAGGGAAATTGGTTACAGTAAAATATTTACGACTAGATAGATATCACCATCGCTTTCCCCAAGCACTTGCTTGCAACACTCCCTTGAAGCCATCAAATAAACATATGAACTCTATGTCTCATCTTCGTCTTCGGACTGGCCTAGCCAATTCTCAAGGAAGTTCCTGAAAAGACTCTCCACTCTTATAACTGTTACTTACAGTAGAAAAATTACTGTTTGGCTTCTTGTCTTCCTTTTAAAATGCTTTTTGTATGTAATATTTTAATTGAATAAAGCTCTGTTTAAATGTTCCAAAAATCGTAAGGTTCCAGTGGGACTTAGCAGTGAGGCAGCAATGCTGAGTAGATAGAATAATTGTTTCATTCAACTTTTGGAGCTCAGTTAAGCCAATGCATTTAAAGTTTTGCATGAGGAACATTGACTTTCTTAAGCATTTTCAGATGTGGTGATTGTATTTTTGCACCAAGAAATGTTTGGATTACCGCACAAAAGCATGGTGAAGAGGCTTCTTGTTATTTCCATAATTCCTGTGAACTAATGTTGTGAATTTTTGTATACAGTCACCTGCATAGTTCCTTAATGTGGTAAAAACGTTCATTTTTCAATTTAACCTTAGATTTCTATTGCTTGTAAAATTTCTATTTGCTACAGCTGGATTATGGGGAAATTCATTTGGGTTTAGTGGTTACATATAAGTGGATGTACATGTACTTAAACTGGCTTTTGTATATATGTATAAATGCTGGTGGTGGCGAATGTAGTCTTGTATTTTGAGGATGTCTGCAGTATAGCAGTAAAATAAGCTTATTTTATTCATAATCTAATGTATATATGTATGTGTATATGTATATATGTCTGTATGTATATTATATATGTATGTGTATATGTTTGTGTATACACACACATATATATACATATGGCTGTACTGTCACAGATCAAACAGCCAAACACCTGGAAGTATTAGATACAAGTTAAAAATATCTTTTATAGGTTTTATATGAAAAAAATGTCTTGAGTATGACTGTGAAAGTTGATACCAGTTGTAATTGATTCAAATTTATGCGAGCAATAAAGAAGCAATTGGCAGAAATTGATAAAGTATTTTGTGAAAAGCTGTATTTATTATATTAGGGCTATAACATAGTACCATTGGGATTGAGTCATTTTCCCAATCTGTTTATAGTTTAAATAATGAAAAGTTAACTCTCCTGTTGTATGTCAAGTATTAAGCAGGGCACATTGTTGCAACAAAGTATGTATTTGAATAATCATATTTGCAATTTGGGGTCATGAATGTTTGCAATATAGTAAATGCAAGAGTGACTGTTGCTTTGTGCCTCAAGTATTTACTTAGTTTCAGTAAAGTTTCTTTATTACTGTTTATAATTTCAGACGAAATAGTTACTGAAAGGAAGTTTACTTATAATCTAACAATTGGCTTTCTAAAAAAGTAACCTGTTGGTATATTGTTGTCAGTTCAAAGGAATATGTGAAACAGCTGGAATTATACCAACTATGATTCTGTTCAAAGCTCGGTTTTCTTTTGTTTAGTTGTATATGTGTTGGGTTTGCAGCATGAACTTGCACAGATACTGCACGATTTCTGGTTAAGTAAACATGATGCACACTGTTCTGTAACAGAAAACCCTATTGTGCCTTACCTATGTGCTTTTGTGGGCACCATGTTTATGAAGAATAAAAAAGATTTGCTATCTGAAGAGAATAAATTTTAAATTCTCAGTTTATGTCTCAGATGCTAAAGTGTGAAAATATAAATATATAATATATAATATAACCAATCTTTCTGTATTTTATGTGCATCCTAGTGATTTATCTGAGCTTAGTGAACCCCACCTTGTGACCTGTTGCAAGAGTGAATGTAAAAAATAGTTGTGGCATTTTAAAAGGTCGCCTTTTGATGCAGATGCATCTTTTTCTTGATTCTAAACATATTCATGTAAACATTGTACATTTATTGTTGTAATATATACTATTATGCAGCTTATTTTACCTGAAACTGTTAAGCCGACCAAGATCCTTCCCTGCAAGACAAATGGGAATGTGTATAATAACTAGATATTTGAGAAGTTCCGAAGTTTGATGTAATCCGTTACTTGTCCTGTTAAAAAGGAAAAAAATTCTAATTAAAAATTTATTAGGTTTTTTTAAAATGTCTCTTTATTTTTCAAACTTTTTAAGTGTGTTGTGTATTCTTGTAAAACCAGTGAAAATAGGTGTTTTTATTTTTAATATTTCTGGGAAATCTTAAATATATGTATATTTATGAACATAAAGTTAAATTTTAACAGTCCATTTCTCAGCAGACGTCTTCATCTAATTCTTTGGATGTATTTGGATCAAAGCAGCAACAGGATAAAACCAGCTGCATCACTTAAGCACATTTCGCCAGACACTCTTTCCTATCTGTACTTTTTCAGAAAAGGAAGCAATCTGTACACTTTTTGCCTTAGACTTGTTAATCTTTCGTATCATTTACAGGCAAGTTACTTTGAGTAGTTTTGGCTTAGATTTCTTGTTTTGGTCAAGGCAAAAGAAGACTCAATTGGTAATGCACTTTATTGATTGCTAACAAATGTTAGGCTCTATTAGGTGGTAGGACACAAAGAAATAACATGATAATAACACGGCCTTGGGCTAGAGTGTAGTGCATTTTGCCTCACATTTGGCTGTCTCGGGTTTAAGTTGTGGCACCACTTATGGTCCCCTGCACCCTGTCAGTAATGATCACAAAGCCAGGACTAAACCCTGAGCACAGCCAGAAATAAGACATAGCCCCGTACTCCAGATGGTCATGCTGCAGAAGACAAGTATAGGACAGGTCATTTAAAAGATAGTATGAAAAATTAATAAAAGAGATACAAATTCTGGAATACAGAGAGGTACCCTGGAGAAGAGAGTATGGCTGACAAGGTCATAGATGAACCATATATGTATTTTTTCTCTATCCTTTATATATTTTTTCCATTTTTTAAAAAATTTTTATTAGTGACAAACCAAGAGGTACAGTTGTAGACTTACAAATTTTTGTGCTTGGGTTTCAGTTATACAATGATCAATTGCCCATCCCTCCACCAGTGCCCATTTTCCACCAACACGGGTCCCAGTATCCCTCCCACCCCCCACCCCCCCATCCCACCCTGTCTCTGTGTCAGGGCATTCCCTTTTGTTCTCTCTCTCCTTTTGGGTGCTGTGGGATGAACCATATTTTAATTCAGTTAACATTTAGTAAACACTTCTTAGTATTCATCTGAAGGTAAGCCTTCCTTCATTTTTTTAAGCTGGACCAGTGGTTGGACCATGAGTGTTCTTTTAGTCCAACCCTGTTTTCTTTTCCTGGGGAAGTTTTATTATGATGAGTTCATAATAATTTGTGAAACCTAAGTTATTAAAAAATCCATTTTTATACTCATTGGTCTATATATTGCATTATATCTTCTAAATATTAAAACCCAATGTTGGAATTTCTTTATATTTTTCTTGTTTGGTATTGACTCTTTAGCAAATTGTAATTTGTGATTTTCAGGTGAGTACCATTTTTTAATGTATAATGTCCCAGCACATGTTCTTTTAATAAAATTTATTTTATAGTACTTTCAGGTACATCACATTTCTATAGGTTATCTACATGATTTCTTTACTTTTTATTCCTAGACTGTCTCTAGAAATCATTTCTTGCAGATCAACAAAGGATGCTAGATAAATTAAGCAGAATATTGGTAGCCACCCTTTTGGAACCTACTCAAGAATGGCTATTTAATAATCAAAAATAATTAGAAACTCCAGAAGTTGAGGTTTGAAGAGAAAAAACTAAATGTCAGTATTCCTTTTTTCTTGATCCAGTAAGCATGACTAGTTAATACATTGAATACCCATTGGAGAGGGTTCAGAGAAATAGTACAGTGGGTAAGTCATTGCCTGGCATCTAGCTGACCTGAATTTGATCCTGGGCACCATGTGCTGATCCCCCATGTGCTGCCAGGAGTTATCCCTAAGCACCATCAGGTGTTCTCCCCATAAAACAATACTATTGTACAATCTATGACTGTATTTTGATGGAAGATTTTTACAACTTAAAAGGAACCATTATTAGGGCTAAGAGTATACGGTGGGTTGCACACAGCTAATGCTGGTTCTACCTCCAGCACTCCATTTTCTCCCCAAGCCCTGCCAGGAATAATTCCTGAGTGCAGAGCAAGGAGTAACCCCTGAGCATCGGTAGATGAACCCCTTCCTACCACAACCCCTCCAAAAAAGAGAAATATTTGGAAAAGAAGATGGATTCATTTTGTTGCTTATTGTAAAACTAACAGATTTAGGTTTTTTTTTTTCCTAAATACATTTTTTTAATTGAATCACTGAGATAGACCTTCACAGAACTGATTAGGTTTCAGTCATACAATATTCCAACATTCATTCCTCCACTAGCATACATTTCCCAGCACCAGTATCCCCAGTTTCTCTCCCATCATTCCCCACCTCCACCACCCCAGTCTGCCTCTATTTCTATGTGCTTTTCTTCTCTCTCTCTCTCTCTCTCTCTCTCTCTCTCTCTCTCTCTCTCTCTCTCTCTCTCTCTCTCATAAAATAATGATACTAAAACATTATCAAGAATATCCCTTTACCTACTTTTAATACTCAGTTCTTATCCAGAGTGATCGTTCTCAGCTATTATTGTTATATTGGCCTCTTTTTTATCTTACCTACCCTATGCCCCCCCCCCACACACACACACACACACACGCATTTGGAGTTGATTTCAACCATTGACCAGTCCCCCTAGCTCCTGTTTTCCTGGTCACAGATATTAGTCTTCTATATATTCTTTTATGTACTACAAGTGAATGCAGTCATTTTATATCTGTCCCTCTCCTTCTGACTCATTTAACTTAGTATGATATTATCCATGTCCATCCATTTATAGGCAAAGTTCATGACTTCATTTTTCCTAACAGCTGCATAGTATTGTGTAGATGTACTGTAGTTTCTTTTTCTATTCATCTGTTCTTGGACACTCAGGTTGTTTCCAGATCCTGGCTGTTGTGAATAGTGCTGCAATGAACCTAGAAATGCAGATGGGTTTTCTGCTGGGTGTTTTGGGGCCCCCAGGTTATATTCCCAGAAGTGGTATTGCTGGATCAAGTGGGAACTCAATTTCTAGTTTTTTGAGAAACATCCATATTACTTTCCAAAAGGCTGGACAAGTTGGTATTCCCACCAACAATGAAGGAGAATCCCTTACTCCGCACATCTATGCCAACACTGGTTCCTTTTGTTCTTTTGCATGTGTGCCAGTCTCTGTGGTGTAAGATGACATCTCATTGTTGTTTTGATCTGCATCTCCCTGATTAGTGTTGAAGAGCATTTTTTTCATGTGCCTTTTGGCCATTTAAATTTCTTCTGAGAACATTTCTGTTCATTTAATCACCCCATTTTCAAGTGAGGTTGGATGTATTTTTCTTGTAGAGTTTAACCAGTGTCTTGTATATCTTTAATATTAATCTCTTATTAGAAGGTTATTGAGGGAATAACCTTTCCCATTCCATAGGCTGTCTTTGTATCTTGGTCATTGTTTCTTTTGAGGTGCAGAAGCTTCTAATTTTAAAGTAGTCCCATCTTTGCTTCCGCTTGCTTGGCTAGTGGTGTTTCACCTTTTTTTTTAATTTTTCAATTTTATTTTTATAAAGTTGTTCATAGTAATTAGATTCAATATTTCAACACCAATCTCACCATCATTACACCTTCCACTCCACTGTTACTTCAAATTTTCTCACCATCATTCACGCCTGTCCAACATGCAGATGCTAAATAATTGATTTTGTATTGCTTGTTACGAATAGTATAGGATGTCATAATTTTAAATAATTGGGGTCTGGAGACATCTCTGGTATGCTGCTGTCTTCTGAGATTTATTTGTGAGTCTCTGGATCGTGGCCATTAATGCGTCTAAATGGCGCCCGGAGATAGTACGTGGGAGTGACAGCCAGGACACTTGGAGGGCGGATAGATGGGGAAGGACGGCCCATTCCTTCCTCCACGTGGCCTGGAGTTTTCAGTCACTGGTCCCGTTTACCTGAGTTTTTCTTCTGGAGATTTGTGACCACCGAGGTTCATTTGGAGTAGGTAGAGAGAGAACACCTGCTCCATCTGAGGCACCCAGCATGGGGTGCGGAGACAACATCTTTGAAGATACCTTTAGCTTCGATATCATAAAGGTTTTGCCAACGTTTTCTTCCAGGTACCTTAGAGATTCTGGTCTGATGTTGAGGTCTTTAATCCATTTTGATCTGAGTTTTGTACATGGTGTTAGAGGTCTGGGCCCATTATTTTGGTATGTAGCTGTCCAGTTTTACCAGCACCACTTGTTAGAGTG